AAAAAAAAAAAAAAAAAAAAAAAAAAAAATCACTCCCTGTATTAAAAATTCATTTATGTGAAATTCAGGTTTAACTAGGTTTATACTGTATTCTATCTGCCAACCCTAGGTAATGCATAAATTCAAAGATCCGCTGCTTCCAAAAGTTCTTCGCCTTCACGAGGCATCCGAACAAAGATTCCAGGCCTGTCTCTAGAAACGAACAGGGTAGATACTCCCCAGGCTGTTGCAGTGCATGCTGCTTGCACCAGGCGCTAACTTTCCTGTGGGGTAAAAGGACCACTGGCCTCTGTGGGAGCCCTTTTCTAGACTCGCGGATCAGTAGAATTCGAGAGACCTGCGAAGTCTGGTGTTTGACTACTAAAGAGATTTCGCGCCTGCCTCGCAAGCGCAAGGGCCCGAGTTCGATGCCCGGTACCAAAAAATAAAATAAAATAAATAAATTAAAGAGGCTTCAGTCTCTGTCTCAGGCCTGCGCCCAGAAGCCGACCGCCAGACTCCAACATGGCGCTCGCGGCGGCCGCCAGGTGCCAAGATGGCGGCCTGAGTTCGCGCGTGCGCTTGCGAGTCTCCTCCCCCAAATTTCCTTAGGCAATGAGCACGACTCTGACTAATCCAGTCGCCGGCTGCTTTTCTGCGGGGTGGCGGTCAGGACAGCCTCGCGCCCTTCGCCATGCAGCTGCTCTGCAGGTGGCAACTGCTGCTGTGGGTGCTGGGGCTTTCCGCCCGCAGCCTAGAGGGTGAGTGCGGGCCGGGCTGGGGTTGCAGGCGACGGTGTATGGAGTGACCACGCGAGGAGATATCGGCGGGCACGGCGCTTTACCTGCGCTAAGGCCCGCGTTGCGCGCCTCGCCTGTGGCCAGCGTCCTCCCTCCCGTGAGCTTCTCTCGGACCTCTCGCCCGCCAGCGGCCGGCAGTAGCTGGACGGCGGGACAGCCGGGCGGACAGCGCCGGGTTCAGGCCCTTCAGCGGGCGCCTGGCAGTCCTGAGGGACTGTGTATTATGCAGCTGTGAGGGACTCACGCATAACCTCCTCTGATGAGCACTGTATTATTAACCATCATCATGATCATGAGAAATAGCCGATATTTTTTGTGGTCTTACTAGAATCCAGGAGCTGTGAATTTTATATAAAGATTTTATATCTTTATCTCGTTTAGCGCTTCCACCAACCTTGGGAGACAAGTTCCATTAGTTTGGACAGAGGCTAAACAGTCTGCTCAAGTTTGCACCTCTGGTAAATGACAGAGTGAGCTTAAGTCTTTGACTTCAAAACCACGCTGGAGTCTATCCTCCTTTCTGTAGTCGACCAGTCTTGCCCAGGTGTCCGCACAAAGGACAAACTAGCAGCAGACTCCCAGGGTTGTGCTGGCAGACCCCTTGAAGTGGGGAATGCTGCCATGCTGGAGGCATGGCTGTAATGGGCAGCAGAGGCCTTATACCGCTGCCTCTTCATTCTACTCCTCACTGTACTGTTAAGTCCGGATCCTTTGGCCTTGCTTGTCATTCGTATCATAAACATTTCCATTCCCTGGGATTTCCCAGGAAGGAGGCAGGGCAGCAGACTGTTGCTGAGCTGCTAGAAGAGTGAATGATAGTGACACCATTACCATTAGCGAAAGCACGCTCTGTGCAACATTCTCAGTGTTTAGTCCTCTCTGAGCATCATCTTATTGTTTAACTGCTATGTGACAGATATTATTCCTATTTTGTAGATGAGTAAACTGATACTCAGAGCTAGTTAGTTCTTTGCCAAGGCTGTACTGCCAGAAGTTGAGGACCCATGATGGAAGCCTGTATCTGCCTGACCTCATAGCCAGGCCTCTGTATTTTGACTACTTTTTAAAAATTAAAATATACATTTTTGGGCCCGGGATTTAGCTCAGTGGTGCTGCCACCTGCCTCGCAAATGCAAGGTCCCAAGGTTCGATCCACAGTACCAGAAAACAAACAAACAAATAAATAAAATTTTATTAGTACGTGTTTGCAATACACGATGATTACATTCATCATGGGGAGTTGGTATGTTTATGTAACACATCTTAATTCAGTTTTCATACCCTTCTTTCCTTCTCCACCACCCTGCATCTCTTGGTCCCCTTCCCATTTGGAAAAAGATCCACCTCCCTGTTTTCTATTATCTATCTTTTATTTTGCCCTTTATTTATATTTTGGGTTTCTTATATAAAAGAAACCATATAATATTTAAGTTTGTTTCTGTTTCACTTAACATCATGATCTCAAGGTGCCTCCATTTTCCTAAAATGACTCAAGTTTATGATTTTTTAATGACAGAGTAGTATGCCATTGTGTGTAAATACTGTATTTTCTTTATCTATTCATCTGTTAATGGACGTATAGGCCACTTCCAAGATTTAGCTTTTATGAATTGTGCTGCTTTATAGCATAGTATATGTTTATACATGGGTATGTATGTATCACCATAATATGATGTCTTGAACTCTTTTGGGAAGATACAAGGGGAATCACTGAGTCAAATGGAATTTCTTTCTTTCTTTTTTTTTTTTTCTGGTACTGGGGATTGAACTCAGGACCCTGTGTTTACAAGGGGTGCATGGGGCCACTGAGCTAAATTCCTGGCCATGAAATTTCTAATTTTAGTTTTTTTGGAAATGTTCATACTGATTTTCTTTCTTTCTTTTTTTTATTTAGTTTGTTGAGACAGGGTCTCATTATGTCGTTGAGACTGACCTGGAACTCACTATGTAGCCCAGGCTGGTTTCAAACTCACACACAGTGATCCTCCTGCCTCAGCCTCGCAAGTGCTGGGATTACAGGCATGCACCACCACGCCCAGCTCATACTGATTTTCATAGTGTGTGTGTACTAGTTTATACTTCCACTAACAATGTAGAAGGGTGTCCTGTCCTCCCGACCCCAGCATTTGATTTGATTTCTTTTCTCTTTTTTTTGTACCGGGGATCAAACTCAGGACCTTTCACTTATGAGGCAGTGGTGGAACCACTGAGCTAAATCCCCAGCCCTATGTTGAACATTTTTAATGTATTTATTAGCTACTTGTACTTCTGAGAAGTATCTTTTCATTGCTTGCCCAGTTTTTGATTGGTCTTTTATTTTTGGGGTGGGTCTAATTTTTTTTTGCTTTATTTGTTTGTTTTGTGTTTTGGTACCAGGGATTAAACTTGGGTCCTTGTGCTTGTGAGGCAAGTGCTGGGACCACTGAGCTAAATGCCCAGCCCTTTTATTGCTTTATATAGTCTATGCTACTAGTCATCTGTCCAAAGAATAGCTGGCAAAATTTTTCCCATTCTGTAGGTTGGCTCTTCACTCTGTAGATTACTCTCTTTGCTGTGCAGAAGCTTTTTTTTTTTTTTTTTTTT